GAGAGTGGATCTTTTCCACCACCGTCCAACTTTGCCCTTCACAGCTGTCAAGAAACAGCCTAGATTGCTTTCTTTCCTTTTGGGTTTGGAGGGATTTTTTTGGTCTTGGACATTTGCTTCTTCTTCCCATATCTCACATTACAGACTGCTGAGGGTGGAGGTGACCCATCGCCAATCCCTGCCCAGGCCACCCAGTGCAGGCTGTGAGCGCCTCCAGGGATGGAGGCCACACCACTTCGCAGTGCCTTAACAGATTCACTCCAATGTGTCCACGTCACTCGCGTACTGGGGAGCCCACGACTGGGTGCAACACCCCAAATGCCATTTTGTTCATCTTTGAAATTGTGGTTCTCCAAAAAAGCACTCGCATTCACTCCAGGGCACTGGGAGGAGCAGGCAATAAGCGCAGGCAGCAGAGGATTTGCTGAGCCCGTCCTTGACACCAGCTCCCAAGCACATCCAGGGAGAATTTACTGCTTTGGGTCTCTCATAAATGCCAAGCTGGTGTGTGATGGATGGGCTGGGCTGGGATGATCACTGCTGCAGCTTCTGCAGCTGTCCCAGGGAGCAGCAATGAAGCACCACCACTGTTTGGTTGGGGACGGGACGCACAGAGCAGGGCCAGGCAAGGGGGCGGCCCCGCATCAACCAGCACAGCACATCCCTGGGCCAGAGCTGAGTGAGGTCTGCTGGGCACAGCTGCACATCCTCTGTTGGGTGAACAGCCTCACCTCTCAGTCCCAGCACACACGGATGCACACACGCCCCTGTATGCACTCACATCCACTGCCTCGCGCTCCATCCCATGCACACAAAGACGCCATTGGAGCAAGCAGACAGCGCGATTCAGAGGATGGCTTGCCGGCAGAACCTTGGCTCTGCACCTGTGAGCGGACAGTTTGGGTTTTTAAAGAAAACTGAAGGAACCACAGCGCTCCGCTGGGAGGGCTGCGGTGGGAGACGGGCGGCTCCGAGCAGAGAAGCCGCTCTGAGGTTGCAACATTCGCCATTTCAGCAATACGGGAACCCCACAGCTTTGCTGTTCGTAGGGTCCTGTCGGTAAAACATCCCCGCGCCCAACGGAGGGTACCGTGGGCTCCCGTATGTCGGTTCCGCCACGGCTCCGCCCGGCGCCCACTCTCCAAGCCGGTCCCGGCGGGCGGAGCCGCAGCGCCACCGAGCGGCCACACCGCGCTCCTACCGCCCGGCAACCCCTCTCGTCCCCCGGGCCGGGAAGGGAAACGCGACCCGTTCCGTGCTTCCGTCCCCGGTCCTCGCGTGGAACACAGCCCGGATGGAGCAAAGCCGCAGAGCGGTTCCCGAAAGAGCAGAAGCCAAAGTGTCGGCCAGCGGCGGCACCGCTGTCAGCTCTGCCTGCCAAGTCCTGCCTGGATCTTGTCCCGCTTCACCCTTTAGGGTTGATATTTTCCATCCTCGAGTCTTTTTCTTTCCAAGTCTCAGTGTAAGCAGCCAGGGCACAAGAAGCGCTGAAGCCCAGGACAAGCAAACACCCTGCGGTCTGCCGGAGGATGGTGTTTTGTGGGAGCTGTGGGAGATGCAAATGGATGGGAGCTCACAGTGAAAGAGCTCTCTGTTTTCCAGCTGTATCAGCACCTCTAATGAGAGAAAATGGCTTTGTTTGGCCTGTGTTAGAAAATACAAAATCAGTCACTCTGGCGGAAAGCCGTCACATTGCCAGCTTGTGGAGTGGGGGCTTGGAGTGCTGCCTTCCCCTGTCCCCAGGAAAACCTGAAGAATATGGGCTGGTGACATGGAGAGGTGATTTGAGTTCTCAGCCACTCCAATGCGAGACAGGGGGCAGCTGCCAGCCGTGCTGCTACATGTGGGCTCCATCCCGGGCTCCATCCCAGGCTCCTCTTTGCCCCATGCTCCTGTGGGTATGTTAATCCCCTGTGACAGTGGGAACATGAGAAAAGTGCAAAGTTTCCTGCAAAGCATTTGCCTGTGAGAAGGAGAGCAGGAGAACAGCAAAAAGAGAACAGAATGGCTTGTCCCCTGTCACTGCAGGCATCCCCATAGTGAAAGGAGAAAAGGGAACATTTTCTTTCTTCTCTTTTCCCACTGGAAGAGAAGCCCAACAGCCACTCAGCACTACCTGCTCTCAATTAAATATATGGCAAGTTAAGAAGCCAAACCAAGTAGCACTTGGTTAGGGGGGTTCATCAGTTCCAGCTGCATGCCAGGCATCGATTCATGCCCTGCAGCAGATGAGCATGGTGGGCAGCGAGGCTCTGCGAGCCCAAAGGTTTTGCTGTGTCTGCAGCAGCCCTCAGATCAATAAGGCTCTGCTGAGCCACGTCTCTGCTTCCGAGGCACCGTAATTAAGGGTGTATTTTTAGTAAAACGAGACGCCGTGTTCATCGATATGGAACAGCCCCGTTCTCAAGGGCAAAGGTGGCTCCAGTTAACCTGCCTCAGCCTGGAAATGGCTGTTGTCCCCCAGCCCAGCAACACCTGGCTGCTCCTGGATGCTGCACACACCCCACACTGGGGCTCCGTGCGAGGGGCTGCACGGTGCAATGCAAACCCACGGGAAGATGCCCAGCTCCCATCCAGCTGCCCCAAACCCCCCGCACTCTCCCTTCCCTGGTTGTTTCCTCAGGAATCTTCCCCAGCATGAGGTGTTTGAATCATTTAGGATGGATGGGCTAAAACACAGCTGGCTCCCTTCCAGGCTTTCTGGCATCCCAGCTCAGTAAACAACCCCTTGCCACAGGTGGCAGCCCAGAAAAAGGCCTTTTAAGTTTATTCCCCAGACCCCGACTCTACAGAAATCTTCCAGCGCATTCATTTCTAGGCTGTAAGTGCAGAGAAATGGCTTCAGGCATTCGCTCCCTTTTCTAACCCCACCCTCCACCCCTCACCTTCACCAGATGGCCATCTCAGCTTCACCCCTCAATCCAGGGGGGTGGAAAATGTGAGGGACTCTCTGACTCAGCCCCAGCAGCCCCTTTTGTGGCACCATGTGGGGCCTCGGGGCTGTGGGCAGGGATGATGGGAGGTTTGGGGGGAAAAGAGAGCGGGATGAAGGTGAAGAAGGATGGAGATGGGGGAGGACGACAAGGCCGCAGACAGTGACACAATGGGTGCTCCAGCTTTTCTACATGTTGCTTTATTTTAGCAATCAGCCCCTGTATAACCTCCTCATTCCCTAATCCCATCAGTATCTGCACCCCCATGGAGGTGCAGGAGCCCCCAGGGCTGCTGGATGAGCACCTGGAAGCTCCCACTGCCTGGACACGGCCCTGTATCATGGAGCATCGACACTACAGCCATCAGCATGGGGACAAAACCTTTGGCCACCTCTAGACATCGTCTTGTCCACACAGCCACAGAGCACAGTGCCCAGGATCACATCCAGGTGCCTTAGGAAGATCTCCAAGGAGACCCCAGCAGCTCTCTGTGCAACCTGCTCAGCCACCCGCACCACACTGAGGTGCTGCTGACGTTGAAAGGGAACCTCCTGAGTCCCAGCTGGTGCCCATGGCCTCTTGTCCCAGCGCCGGGCACCATCTGCACCTCCCTGCTGGTACTGAGGGACACGGAGGGGATGCTCAGAGCCCCCTCATCTGCAGGTTGAACATGCCCAGCTCTCTCGGTCTCCTGTAAGAAAGGTGCTCCAGGTCCTTCATCATCATCGCAGCCTTTTGCTGAGCTCTCTCACGTTTCCAGGGCTTCCTTGCACTGGGGAGCCCAGCACCATGCCCAGCATCCCAGCTGTGGCCTCCTCAAAGCAGACCAGGACAAGATAACCTCAGCTTGCTGGATAACCTCAACTTTTTGGATGCCAACCACCACTGAAACCAAGGAGCAGTGAATTCCAGCTCTCCAGTCTCCCCTCCTGGTGCCACCAGCGGCTGCTGTAACTTGTTGCCATCTGTTATTTTCACTGTGTCAGAAAGCTTCTCTGCTGAGCACCAGCCCATGAAATATGCATGCTGTGTCCTCCCGTTTCCAAACCTCCTTTCTCCTCCTGCACTAAATCCCCTTCTCGCCTATTTGTCTTGTCTTCAGATTGGTTCCTTCACATCTTATGGCTTCCCAGACCATCAATAAGAGACACTTCCCAGCCCAGAGCTGACTGCTGAGCGATGGGGACGGGTGCTTGTGAGCATCACACCTCTGCCATCCCGCCACACGCACCCAGATCTGCATTTCCATCGGAATGCTTTGGCTTTCATTTTTAGACCTTGGTCTTTGTGGCCAAATCTGAGAGTAAAGCAACACGGAAAACTCAGAGCTGGGGCTTCACATCGCAGCTTTGAGCGGATTATTCCACTCTGGGGCGGTAACACAACGCAACGATTATAGGGAAGGAAACGTGATTTTTCATCGCCAACATTTTGCCTCCTCTGCTTCCGGGCCCTTATTCTGGAGCACCGGCCGAGCCCGCAGGTTGCGCTGAGCATCGCCGGGCGCCAGATGGCACTTTGGGGCCGGCAGGAGGTTGGCTGGCTTCCTGCGCGATCCTACGAGGGAGGGGAGCGGTGCCCATGCCCTGCTGTGCTGCCAGGAAACCCGGCGTGGGGAGTGCGGGGAGGGAACGGCGGGGGACTGCGGGGGGTGGAGGGGGGTGGAAGGGGAGGCTCAACCCGCAAGAATGGGGCTGCACGGAGCCCAGAGAGCAGCCAGACCCAGGTTCGGCGATACCCCCAAAGGAACAACCGGCGGGGCTCGCACTGACACCCATCCCGATGTCGGGACATCCCGCACCGGAGGCGACAATCCTCCTGTGGACGGCCGCGTGGGCTCGGAGATCCCTTAAAGAGAGCCCTTTAGCCCGATCCGAGGGGCTGGGACCGCACCGACCCCCCTAGGACCACTGGGCTCCCTTCCAACCCCCCCCTCACCCCAACCTTTCCCAGTTCCGAAGGGAAGCAGCGGGCAGAACACGAGGCGGAAAGCCGGCCCCCTAGCCCGGGCCCGTGTCTGCGGGAACCCGGCGGGGCGGTGCCGGGCGGGACGTACTTAAGGCGGCGGCGTTGCGGGCGGGCGGCTCCGCAGTGCCCATGGCTCTACCGAGCGCGGTGCGGGCGCTCCACGCCACCGCCTCCCGCATGGGCGCCCCGCGTTCCGTTCCCCGCGGTGCCGCCCCGCCGTTACCGGCTAACGGGAAGGGGGGAACCAGACCGGTACCTCCGCCGGTACCGCCGCGGGGTGCGGCCCCGGTCGTGGATTTTGGGGACCCGCAAGAGGCGTTCCGCAGCAAAAGCAGCGCCGAGCTGTTGCGGGGGTTGCTGGTGCTCGGGCTTTGCGCTGTGGGACCGTTGGTGGAGTACAACCGAGAGGTGAGTGCCCGGAACCGGGGGCGGGGAGGGGAGGGAGGGGGGGGGGGGGGGGGGGGTGAAAGAAGCGATGCGGGGCTGCGGGTGCCGGCGCTGAGGTTCCGACGTCCCGCAGCTGATGCAGTTCGGGAAGCGGATGTTGGGCCAGGCGCTGTTCGAGCGGCTGATGAAGATGACTTTCTACGGGCAGTTCGTGGCCGGGGAGGACCAGGAGGCCATCAAACCGCTCATCCGGCGGAACCGGGCCTTCGGAGTGGGCGCCGTGTTGGACTACAGCGTGGAGGAGGACCTGAGCCCCGCTCGGGCCGAGCGCCAGGAGCTGGCGTGAGCGCGGGGCGGCGGGAGGGCTGCGGGGGGTGGCGGGCGCGGGAGTTGGCCGCCACGCGATTGGCTCCGAGCGCCCATCCCCCCCGCTCCTATTGGCTGAAGGACGCCGTGCGTCACCGCCCCGCCTCCCGCGGCATCGCCCCGACCCCCGGCATCGCCCCCCAATGCCGCCCCCCGACCTTTCCCGTCCGCTTCCCCAAATTCCCACCCCGCTTCCCTCTGTTTCCATTCCCAGCCTCCTCCCGTATTTCAGCCCTTTTTCCTGCAGGCGACACGCAGCGCTGTCACTGTCACTGTGCCCCCCCCCCCCCCCTTATCTCTCCCAATGGCACGCAGCTGCGATGTCCTGCTGTGCTAAAAACACCTCCCGAAACTCCGTGTTCCTTTCCGAGCAGGTGTTCCTTTCCCCCCCTCTTCCCTCCCTCCCCCCTCCAGCAGCCTTATCTCTGCCCCGCACCCAGCGCTGCCTATCGGACAGCTATAACCACGCTGCTGGCCCTGGCGGTGATGCGGCAGCAGCTGATCTCTATGTGCTTCCCCGGGCACGCAGCCGTGGCTCGAGTTGCTATCCGAGCCGTGCTCGGCATCCTAATGGAGTGTAAGCAGCTCGTGACGCGGGCGGGGGGGTGAAGGGGGGGAGAGAGGTGACAGCGCTGCCGTTTCTGCTGTCCTTGTGCCGGCTGTGCCTGTACTGAGTGCTCCTGCCTTTAGCACTGAAAGCTGCCTGCACACATTCTTTCCCTCCTTTCCCAGCACTGCCGCCCACTTCTCTCCTCCCTCCCCCCTTCGGTGCAGGTTATAGGGCTGCTGCCGCCATGGGGCTCCCACCCAGAAAGCTCTGTGCCCCCCCCCAGTGTCACCCTGCCTGAGCCAGCCGTAGAGGCACAAAGCAGCTGCAGGCAGCGTGTCTGCAGCCTCCTGGTGCCATCTGCTGTTGGAGTGCTGTGCAAAGCCTCTAGCAGCACGCTTGCGTGGAAATGCCCTTGTGCTTCCCCCCAAAAATGCTCCTCGTGATTGCAGCAGCGTGGTACAGGTTGAACCCATGTCCTGGCATGCCTCCAGCCAGCTCAGTCCTGCCTTGCCCGGGCTGCTGTTCTGCACCCTGCCAGCTTGTCACGGGTGCCCTCCAGGTGCCACTATTGAGCACTGCAGCCGGGTCATGTTGGCACAGCCAGGGAAAGGTTCCTGCAGGCAGTGCTGGTGGGTGTGGGATGCAGGCAGGTGGGGCTTTGCTCCCCGGGAGGGGAGAGTGGAAGAGTGCGTCAGAAACCAGGTGGGGTTGCACTGATGTGGGCAGGGAGGCTCCTTCCCCTGCAGCAGGGTTCCTCATTCCCAGTGGAGCCGAGTGTCAGGGCGTGCTGCACGTTAGGGTGCTTTCTGTTTGGCCTTTGCAGGGAAGTGCTGCTGCAGTCCTGGAGCTGCGTGCTGGAGCACAGGCGTGCAGGATTCTCTGCCAAGTGCTTCGTTTCGTTCCTCCCTAAGCAGTTCTAGATATTGCCCACAGCTTGAGTGTGGGCTTCCTGTGACCACAAGGCTTGCCTTGAATGTGGTCACTGAGAAACAGCTTCTCCTTTGTGTTTCACTTGTCCTCTCTGCCAGACCCACCTCCTGCTGATGGGGCAAAGCAAGCAGGCTCATGGCAGCCTCTTGCCTAAAATGCATTGCCACCTGCAGCTTATTTCTGACAAGGGCACCCTTATGCTTCTCCTGAGATAATGCATCTGAACCTGATCCAAAACTCCCTGAAAGCCCAATTCCAGTGTTGGCCACATCACCATGCACAGCCATCCAGCAAGCTGGTGCTCCCTGCATCGCTGCATTGGCTCTTCCTTGGTAAAGCAGAATGGTGCCTGCTCATTTTCACACTTCTGTTTGCATTTGATCCCAGGGCATCCTGCAGGTGAAGCATCTTTGGATTCATTGCACCCAACTGGAGCATTCTGGTTTGTGCAGGGCTGGTGATACCTGTGTGTTCTGAGCTTACACAGGGCTGAGCATGCCTTGCAAAGGCTTGCCTTGCCTTCAGGAGCACTTGGGCAGTGCTCAGAGATGCTTCCTGCCCCCTATGGTCTGGAATAAGCTACTTCAGCTGGGCTAAGTGGCATTTGGGTGCTGTGGGAATGGCTCTGCTTGCCAAAACTAGCGCTGCAAAGAGAGCGGCTGATATCCAGGAAGGGGCTATTTCTTCAGCTGGAAAGAGCTTCCTCTATTTTGTTTTGATGTAGAACAATAAAGTGAGCACCATGGCACTGCTTTAAACGCCCCCCTCCCCCCCAGGGATGGAGGGGTTCAGTGCAGTCATGCAGCAGGAATGCTGCTGGAAAGGGTGTGTTTGTCTTCAGGAACACAAAACACTTCAAATTCAAGGGGTGTTTGCTGATAACTGAGCTGCGTAAGCCAGAAGGGCTGTGCCAGTGCTGCTTGTCCCCAGCATACAGGTGCTGGATCGAGGTGTGCTCAGGGCTGCAGAACTGTCCTGCCTGCACCAAGAGCATCTTGCAGCCATCAGGGCTTTGCTATTGCATCTTTCTTTCATGTTCTGGAGCAGCAAGGTTCCTGACCTGTCCCGGGAGCGCCGCAGTCACAGAGCAGAAGCCAAGGACACAGCAGGTTGTGGCATGGCTCCTGCTGAGCTGCGGTTCACATGAGGCTTTGCTGTGCTCTGAGCTGCCCCAGGGAGCCTCCAGCAGCAGGAAAGGGCTTTGTTTGTGCTTCCAGCAACTCCTAATCCCTGTCTTGGGGTTCTCACGTGGGTGCTACCTACTCTGGTGAGGCTCCTGCGCTGGCGGCATGGCTAATTTGGGGCAGTGATGCTGGGGTAGTGCCAAGCAGAGATCTCCTGGGAGGAGATGGCTCTCCTGAATCAGACCCCTGGGGCTCCTGCATCAAACCCCTGGCTGTGGGGCAGCGAGGAGGCTTAGCTGCTCGAGCTTCAGCAGGAACTCATGACTTGGGCACCAGCCCAAGCTGTCAGTTCCCTGCTCTCTGTGACAAAAGGCTCAGGCTTGAAATTACATCCAAGTTGGCTGGGGCTGGGGCTGAGCTTTGTTTGTAAGCAGTTGGCTGGTGCTGACATGCAGTGGAGTGGGGCAGCTGAGTGGCAGTGGGGCTGTGGGACCCATAGCTTGGTGCAACCCGCTCTACTCAAGCTCTTTGCTTTATAGTATGGTGTTGGGATGAGGTTTGGTGCTCCCACAGTTTGAGGGCCATAGAGATCATGGAATGGTTAAGGTTGGAAAAGATCACTAAGATCCCCAAGTCCAACACCAACTCCCTCCCATCGTGCCCACTGCCCATGTCCCTCAGTGCCACATCTACACGGTTCTGGAGCACCTCCAGGGATGGTGACCACACCACTCCATGGGCAGCTGTGCCAGTGCATCACTGCTCTTTTGGAGATGAAATGCTTCCTGATATCCAACCTGATGGAACACCCAGCTCCACCATAGATGGCCCTGTCCTTGCCACGTGGTGTGCATCCCCAACCACGGTGGGCTGGGATGCGCTAAGGTCCAGAGCATCCTCCCTGTCTGCTCCTTAGGAAATGCTGTCTTGGGTATTGAAGTCTCTTTGCTTTCTGTGAGAGGATTTGGGGCACCTGAGCTGCCAACAGGGTGGTGTTGGCCCCGTTAGCAATGGGATGGTGAGGGAAGAACAGGGCATAGTGCCAGGCCTTGGGGCTGCCCTGGCCACCGGTGCGTGGCTGCAGGGTGCTGCTGGCCTTGTCCTCACCTTCCCTGTTTCTCTTCTTAGCTCCTGCACCTCTGCAGCCGAGAAGGAGCCAGGAGGTGAGTGATGGCCTCTCCTGCTCTCAGCAGATAGCGCCTGGCTGAAGGCCCAGCTGCTCCAGGCACCTGGGGGAAAGACTCGTTCCTCCTTCATGAGTTGGAGGAGGAACGTTGAGGTTCTCAGCTGACCCCACTCCTCTTCAAATGGGGTCTCAGGGGGCTCTTGTGAGGTGTGAGGAAGGAAGCAGGAGCTGGTAGGGCTCAGCAGGGGCTGTGGGGCACATCTCTTCCCTCTTCCAACCCAGGAGCAGAGCAGAGGGAGAAGCAGTTCCGTGCCCATCGTGGCTTTGGGGATCGCCGTGATGGAGTCATCAGTGCACGCACCTATTTCTATGCCGATGAAGCCAAGTGTGATCAGCACATGGAGACCTTCCTGCGCTGCATCGATGCATCAAGTAAGTCTTCAGTGTGTCCCTGTGTGCCTGGAGACACCAGGGACCCTGCCCCAGCCAGCCCTGCCCCTGTGATTCTTTCCAGGTGGCAGTTCAGAGGACGGCTTCTCGGCCATCAAGCTGACAGCACTGGGTAGACCTCAGTTCCTGGTGAGTGTCCGTGTGGGTGAGTGGGATGGGCTGAGTTGGAGAGAGGACAGTGGGTGCTTTGGGGTGCCTGAAGCCACCTAAGAGATGGCCACAAGCTTTGGGAGCACACAAAAGGGTCCCAGTGTGAGAATATGGATGCTTTGTACCAGGCTATGTTCTCACACTATAGGGTCAGGGTCTGTCTGTGGGGCTCTGGAGGGATCCCTTGGGGCTCTGAACCCAGACAGCTCACCCCAAACTCTGTCCCCACAGCTGCAGTTCTCAGAGGTGCTGGTGAAGTGGCGACGGTTCTTCCACCAAATGGCTGCAGAGCAGGGCCAAGGCGGGCGGGCAGCACTGGAGATGAGGCTGGAGGTGGAGAAGTTGCAGGTGAGCAGGGTGATATCCGAGGGGTGAGGTTGTGCTGCTGGGAGGGGAAGAAGGGAGAGTCTGACTGTCAGGGATGTGCTGCAGGAAGGGTTCTGGAGCACTGTGACACCTCTGGTGGGGTCTGGCTGTGCCTTGATGCTCCTTTTGGTGGCAGGAAGCCCTGGCCAAGCTCGGCATCGCAACCAAGGCGGAGAGCCAGCACTGGTTCACAGGCGAGAACGTGGGTGAGAGTGGGTAAGTTGTCCACAGCCTGTAGGGTGCTGTGGGGTGATTGCTGCTGGGGGATCTGGGCCCCGCCACAACCTTGGGCAGACAGGCAGCAGCAAGGGGGGGGTCCCCAAAAGTCATCGCTGACTTGTTGTGGCAGCCAAGGGCTCTCAAAGCAGAGAGGAGTGACAAGCTGGGTCAGGGTGCCACTTGCAGCTGGTTTGCTGATGGAGTGGGAGCTGGTAGAGACCCTGCCATCAGCACACAGCTGACTTCCCACCCACAGCACTGTGGATCTTCTGGACTGGAACAGCCTGATTGACAGCCGCACCAAGCTCTCCAAGCTGCTGCTCATCCCCAACATCAAGGTGTGTGTGTGTGCTTCAGCCAGGCTCTGCCCACCAAGCAGCTCAGCAGTGTGGGCACTGCCAGTGTGAGACATCTCATCCTTGTCCTGGGGTGTGAGGCTGCCATCCTCAGGCCCTGCATGGCTTCTGGAGTCCCACACTGACCTGCTGCATGCAGCTGGTGGGATGAGTGCCCCATGTGCAGCACAGGTTGGGGGGTCTTGGGGTTGGGCTCCCCTGGATGTTTGCCCCCCTATAGTGCTGCTGTGCCAGGCGGTGTTGAATGGGCTCTTCTCGTTTCAGACCAGGCAGCTGGAGCCTCTGCTCTCACACTTCACCGAGGAGGAGGAACTGCAGATGAAACGGATGCTGCAGCGGATGGACGTCCTTGCCAAGGTGCAGGGGAGGTGGGGACAGGCACTGCTGCCGATGGGGACACATGGCAGGCAGCCTCAGCAGCCCTCTGTGCCTCCTTCACCCCACAGAGAGCCACGGAGACGGGGGTGAGGCTGATGGTGGATGCAGAGCAGAGCTACTTCCAGCCAGCCATCAGCCGCCTCACCCTGGAGATGCAGCGCCGCTTCAACAGGGAGCGGGCCGTCATCTTCAACACCCACCAGTGCTACCTGAAGGTGAGGCAGGGGATGGAGTGCACGGATTGGTGATGCTGTAAGCAGTTCAGTGTGGCTTTGGGATGGCTGGTGGTACCGGTTTGGTGACACTGGGCCATCTCTGCCCAGGAAGCTTACGATAATGTGAGTGTGGACGTGGAGCTGTCGCGCCGGGAAGGCTGGCACTTTGGCACCAAGCTGGTCCGTGGAGCCTACATGGATCAGGAGAGGGAGAGAGCAGCGAAGATTGGCTACGAGGATCCCATCAACCCCACCTATGAGAAGACCAATGAGATGTATCACAGGTAGGGGTTGCCCCCACCACGCTCCTGCCTTCCTCCCCAGCACGATGGGGCAGCCTCACCACGCAGCCCCCTGCTGCCCTGCAGGTGCCTGGACTGTGTGCTGGAGGAGATCAAGCACAGCCGGAAAGCCAACGTCATGGTGGCAACTCACAATGAGGACACCGTCAAGTTTACCCTGCGCAGGTGGGTGCTGGTGGGGTGCCCAGTCCCTGCTCTACACACAGGACATGAAGGGTCTCTGCTCTTTTCTTAACATCGAGGTTTGGCTTGCAGGATGATGGAGCTTGGGATCCATCCTTCAGAGAAGAAGGTCTGCTTTGGGCAGCTGCTGGGCATGTGTGACCAGATCACTTTTCCCCTAGGTGAGTGCTGCAGCATCAGCACCTGGGAGCAAGCAGGATGTGGCAGAGGGCTCCTGTCCCACTGTCACACCGAGGTATCCCTGAGCAGCTGCTGTGGGATTTGAAGGCAAGATGGAGCCAAGCTGTGGGTTGCTGGCAGACTGGCTGAGGACTTCTGGTCTCCAGAACCCAAGGCCAGGGGAGTAGTGCAAGGCAGACTGGGCAGCTGTCCAGAATGGATGCTGCTCTGTCCTGGAGTTCCCCCAGTAAGCAGGGCTTGGCTCTGGGTCTGCAGCCTCCTCTGGTCATGCTGGAAAAATGTGTTAACTTGATGTTTCTATTTGAATGCTTCTTAAATTGGCCCGGCCCTCCCTGCTGGCATTCCCAGGGCTGCCGGTGACCTCGGCACTCTCTCTCTGGCACCTTCCCAAATCCCTGTGCAAAGCAGGGAGGGGACAGGCTGCTGTGTTTTCCCCCCAGCTGTCCCAGACAGGCTCCCTCCATCTGGCCAGAGATGCTCCCAGGCTTCCTGTGGGTTGCTCAATCCCATCCTCCAGCCCTCACATGCTGGGCTCGCCTTACTTTCCCCCACACACAGAGGCAGGGAGCTGGGCTGGCAAATGGGACATCCCTGTGTCCCCAGCCCTGGTTGTCTAGAAACCATCACTGCTACCTGGAGTGCTCTGGGTTGCTATGCCTGGATCCTTGCCCTTGGTCACAGCAGTGCCAGTGATGCCTTGGAGGGTCTTTGGGGCACTTCCATGCTCTCCCTCTCTCCTTCCAGGTCAGGCTGGCTTCCCTGTCTACAAGTACGTCCCCTATGGCCCAGTGGATGAGGTGCTGCCCTACCTGTCCCGCCGTGCCCAGGAGAACAGGGGCTTCATGCAGAGAGCCAACAAGGAGCGGGACCTGCTCTGGAGGGAGTTCAAGCGGCGACTTTTGGCAGGCACCATCTTCAGCACCAAACCCTGACCCCTGCAGGACCCAACCTGTGCCCAGCAGCGGGGCTCTTGTGCCTTCGTGTTAACCACTAACCCCAGCTCCTCTGCCTTGTTGTGTTGCTGTTTTTCCTCCTGAGGCCTTTGCCTGAGGGGGAGATGTTCTCTCATTGCTGTAGAACTACATCCTCCTTCTGGAGGCCACTACTGTAGGGCTGCCTAGCTGCCCCAAGTGATGTCCCTCTGCTGTTCTTTGGCAGAGCCAAAGCTCTCAGTGCCTTGTGACCATGCCAGCCCTGGGGCATCTATCATGGGGATGGGATCTGCTCAGCCACGTCCCTGTGCTGTCCTGTGAGGCCAGGGCAGTTCTGGGGGTCAGGGAACCAGGAGTCCAGGGAGTTGGGCTGCAGCTCAGCTCTGGCAATCACTGCATTTGCAGCAAATTACAACAATTAAAGCACTGCTGCTCTTGTTCCTCGAGTCTGTGGGTAGCGTTGGGTTCTGCATTGCTTCCCTGATAGCAAAGGCTGGGGGGTGCTCCAGCCAAAGCTGCAGTGTGCTTTCTCGCAAGGGTGCTGGATGCAGCAGCAGGGGGAGTTGCGAGGCAGAGAGCCCATACTGTGCAGCAGCCATCGCAGCAGCTGTACTCCAATGCTGGGAGAGGTCCGAGCACACGTGAGCAGGGCTCCTTCCAAGGGGCAGAGCCTGGCTGTGTCCCCACCGGATGGTGCTGAGTGCCCCAGGGGCCACGGCACGGTCCTTCCCCGGGAAACAGCTGCAGGGAGTTCTTGAACCATTGACAAAACAGCGTATTTTTCCTGTGCTTTGTCTTTGGAAATGCTATAACGCTGGGGTTCCTCTCTTTCTCTTTTGCTGGTGTCTTCCAAAGCATGGTTCAGGGGGAAGAAAGCACCTGGCAGTGCAGCTCCAGCCCAGAGCCTGAAGAAGGAACTGCAGAGTTGGAATGGAGAGCTCTGAGGTGGGCTCGTGGAGCACCAGTGCTGCTTCTCTTAAAGGCAAAAACCTCATTGGGACCAGAGGGAGAATAGGAGCAGTTGTGGCTGATGTCCATGGGGCGTGCATCACCTCCAGCTCTGAGGGTGGGCACCAGAGCAGCCCTGCTTTGGAGGCAGCCTGAAGGTCCTTGTGCCTCTTGGGGAATGCAGGGTTCACAATGGATGGATGGATGGATCCATCTTGCCTGTAGGATAGGGCCAGGGATCTGCTGCCAGCACTGTGGATACAGGGGCAGGGGACATGGCAGGAGTGGAGGGAGGTGCTCAATGATTTGAAATCTGAGGTCAGGGAAGGCAAGTAAGTAGGTGGGTGACAGTTGTAACACCCAGGGAGTTGGGAGATGGTTTCTGCACAGGCAGGCAGGGTAGGAGGAAGCTGAATGCAGCTCGGGAATGGTGTCCCCATCCGTGTCATTTCAGGGCAGTGACATCGGTCCCCAATGGCTGCCACCCCTCAGCCCCTCCCTCTGCACCCGTGGCTGCTCGCATCACGATCTGCCCTTGCACAGGGACAGGGTGAAAGCATCTTCCAGGCATGGCTCTGCCTCACGGGTCCCCGTCAGTGACCTGGTGACAACACAGCTCCGTGGGAAAGTAGCCCTAGGGGGTCCTGATTGCTCCGTGCTGTGGCATCGCTGCTCCATGGACCAGAATGTGATAAATCCAGGAGTCGGCGGTGAGCAGCTGCTCATCCGCTCCCTTCACTCGCGGTGTTCGGGACACGCCCCGGCTCTCTCCCGTCAGATGCAGTCGGAGCATCCTCTCCTGGAGGCGTGCGGTGCTCAGAGGCGGCAATGCAGGAGATGCCCGCAGCCCCTCGGCGGGAGAGAACACAGCCATTCCTATTAAAACCATCGATCCGAGCGCCTGGGATAGCCGGTCCTGCACGGAGCGGCGATGCTCTGTAGTATTCAAGGGACACTGTTTGTGCAACCACGTGGCAGATGCTCGGCGTGTCCCCCGTCCACGCTAGGGATTTGGGATTGCTAGAAGCGCTCGATGAGCCCCCCCACCTCCTAACTGTGTCCCTCTGAGGGAGTTACGAGTGGCTGCCGCTGCGGGCACCGCTCGGGGCTGCCAGAGCCGGGCACAGCCTCCATCGGGGCTATCGGGACTCCGGATCCTGCCGTTCTACACCCGCACCGCCGCTCCGCAGCCCGCACACCGCTGCCGTCGGGGCTCGGGGCCGGGGTCGGACGCGGGAAGGAGGCGGCGGCGGCGGCCCCCGGAGCCTGGCCCGCCGTCAGGGGAACCAATGCGGAATTTCCTGGCTGCCGGCGGGGCCCCTCCCGCCGCCGCCGAGAGGGGCGCGGGGGAGGCGGCGGCGGCGGCGGCGGCGGCGGCGCGGAGCTCGCACTGCAGTTTCCGTCCGCCGAGAGCGGCCGTCGGGGCAGGGCAAGGCAGGGCAGGGCAGGGCGGCACCGGGCACCGCGCAGCCGAGCCGAGCCCCGTATGGGATGGGCCGGGTCGGGCCGGGCCCCGCCGCGCCGACGGCCATGGCGGCCCTGGGGCTGCGGCCGCCGCGCCCAAAAGGAACCGCGGTGCCGCTGCTGCTGTTGGCGGTGCTGAGCTGCGGAGCCGCGCAGGAGCTGAGCCCACGGGGCAGGAACGTGTGCAGGGCTGCAGGGTAGGAGAGAGGGGAGGAGAGGGCAGGTGGGGCCGGGCGGGCGGCCGGGAAGGGAAGGGGGGGGAGGGCGCGGGCCTGGGAAAGAGCGGTGCGGGGCGGTGGGGAGGGGGGCGATGGGTCCCATCGTGGCGGGGGGAGATGGAACCGGGTGTCCCGGGTTCGGATTTTAGTGTCCCGGGTCCGGATTTTGCTGTCTCGGGTCTGGATTTTTGATGTCCCGGCTCTGAAGCTGTGTGTCCCGGTTCTGAATCTCGGTGTCCCGGGTCCGGATTTTGGTATCCCGGGTCCAGATCTCGGTGTCCCTGCGCCGGTCCTGCAGGGAGAAGCCGGTTCTGAGCGCCCCGGGTGTGGTCCCGCAGTGGGATGCGGGATGCTGCGGGTGTCCCCCGCTGGAGCGGCTCCCGGAGCGCTCGGGGCGGCCGCGTTGGCAGCACCGGGACAATACTTGGCGTTGGCTTCAGAGCAAAGGTGCCGTCCCCGGGGTCGCCCTCTGTCTGTTCCCCCCCTCCCTTTCCCCTCTCGGGCTCAGTGGTCCCAAAGCTGCCTCATCCCGCCGAAGAGACCCCTATATGGGCGGGCGATGGGGGGAAGGGCAAGCCATAAATGCACCTTTTTACATCTCGCCCGTGAGGTCAGGAAAGTCCACAAGGAAAACATGTGCTGCGCGCTGGAGAGGCCGCATAATGGCTCCATTCAGCCCGGCCGCGGGGCGCTGGTGCCCCCTCCTCAAATTACAGTTTCCGAAGGAGGTTTTGCCAGAGCAGCACAGCCTCAGTACTCGGCAGGGGGGGAGGGAGGTTGCACCGGGTCTCCACATCCCCCTGTAAAACCGGTGCCCAGCAAAGCTGTCGCTTGGGGTGGCAGTGGGGCTGCAAGTGGTGACCCTTGGGGCCAGCCCAAGAAGCTGCGTCCATGCAGTTCTGTGGATTGCATAGGGTAGGAGAAAGGGATGTGCTTTGGAACTGTTTGGTTTGCTGTGTGCTAAATGTGACTGCTCCTCTTGAGCTCAAAGCTCTTGTTAAGTTACCATGTCCCCGTTCTGTTAGAGAAGCAGGGGTGCAGGGTGATGAGTGCAAGCGCTGTGTGTGTGGGAATTGCTGTCTCCCTAACTCTCCTTTGGCCATTCTTTTCCTGTATGAAGAATTTCCTTTTTGCCTCACAAGGCACGGAGTGACGGGTGGTGTGGAGAAAGAAGGGGCTCGGCGCCAGGGTGATGCTGCTCCCCGGTTTGGGCAGTGGTGTGTGAGCACTGGGATGGGCGTGCAGCTGGAGCAGGTGGCAGCAGTGCTCTGGGCTGTGGGGTTTTCACCTCCATCCATTCGTGCAGCTCCCAGACTCTAAGTAGGATGCAGGACATGGGATGCTCAGTGGGATGCAGACAATTCCCAGGAGCAGGGACAGCTCGGGCTTTGCCCCATTATGCGCTCCTTTTCATCTGCACCAGTGAAATCCCCATCAGTTTGGCAAAGTGATTCTTTTTCCCCTTTCTCAAGGGGAAAAGGCAGTAAAACAGAAAGAGAAGGGATGTGCCGAGGGAAGCAGCGGGTCCGTGGGCAACCTGAAGGATGCTCTGAGGCTGAGCCCCGGTCCCAGCTGTGCTGTGGGGTGCAGGGAGGTGGGTCAAGCTTTGAAATCTGAGCGCGTTGGTTTGCTGTCAGAGCAGCTGATAAAGGAGGGGAGGCTGAGCGGGGAGGTGTCGGACACGGCCCAGCGGAGGCGATTAGCTATCTGCCAGGAGATAGCTTTAATCCCAGTGCTGCGTGTGGGCTGCCCTAAGGACCCACTCATGGTGCTTCAGTCACAGTGCAGCGCTATGGGCGCCGTGGTCCTTCCTTGGGCAGGATGACCCCCTTCCCACCCATCCCCAGCTGAGCTCATGGGGCTTTTGGGGAATGAGACCGCGCAGGCACAACCCACGCTCCATCATGGCACATTTTCAACCCGTGGAGCCCGGTGGATTTCACTTTGGGTCCTCCTGTCCCCTCACGGAGAAGCTTTGATTGGTGCCCCATTGCCTTTCCTTGTGTGTTTCATCTCCCTTCCAGGGCACAGACCCTGCTCCAGCCCTGGGCTCAATCGCAGCGCTGTGTAATCTCACTGACGGACGGAATGGATGGAGCTATTTTGGTCTCCAGCTGCAAGGCATTTTTTCCAGGCCCTGAATCATTTTTGTGGTTCCTTTCTGCCTCCCGTCCAATTTTTCAACATCTTCCACGAGGGGCGGCCACGGTGCTCCCATGTTGGTGCTGCCCCATTCGGCCCAGCCCGTGTCCCACCGGGGGCTGCTCCCTGCTACCCCCCAGCCCACAGCAGCTCCTTCTGGCAGCCAGACGTGGTCCTGTGACTGCGCTGCGTTTCACGAATACTTCCTCGCTGTCTCCTCCTCCTCTTCTGCATTTGTTACATATAAAGGAAAAAAAAAAAAAAGAAAAGCTTTGCATTCCAGGCTCTGCCACTGGTCCAGCCCATGTCAAGTTTTCCTCGACTGCAGCATGCCTTTGGATTGCTCCAGAGCCTCCGGGATTGCTCCCATCCATGGGGTATAGCTCCAGTTGTGCGGGCAAAGCTGCACAAATTGAAGGATGTGATGGGTTTGTGCTGAGAAGAGGACGTCCCCTCCGCATGGGGTGTCCCTGTGCCCCTGTTCTGAGGGCTGTAGTGGTTGAGAGGGGATGGGGCAAGATGCCACCATCCTACCTTGGGATGCCATCCCCGTGCTGCCACGATGCCAGGCACCAAACCCATCTGTAGGTTCCCATAAGCACTCCTTGGCTTTGCCCAGCCTTTCCTCCCTCCTATCTATTATTTTCCAGTGCCTTGGTTAAGAATACGCTC